ACAGAAAACAACGAGCAACGCGACGGGAAGAATTGTCACGTGGCAGGGGAGGTGGGTGGACGAACGACGTGCCGTCGAATCTCGTTAAGTGTCTAACATCGTTAAGGTCTAGAACATCAGGAAGCTTCTCATGACCTGAGCTTATTCGCGCTATATAGTTTCGAGTTCTCATCTAGGGCCGATATAAACGCGTCTATGATAAAACACGATCTATATCCAAATTGCGCTACGATTTTCCGTCTACTCCTCGCTCCACGCCTATTTTTCTTCTCGCGTGTTACGCGGATTTCCAACACGGATCGGGGAGAAAACGAGTGCGGATTTTGTGTCGATCGACGGCGGAGCTCGAATATCTACCGAGCCTCAAACAGGGTGGGAGCCACGATTTTCTCCTCTTCGCGCAGAGGCCGCGGAGAGTGAGAGAGAATGAAGAGAGAAAGACAGCCGAGAGTTAAAAGTCGCGTACACATTGTTCCCTAGCTTTGTCTAAAAAGCTCTCGATATATTTTCTTATATATATATATTATGTTATATTCTCGCTCACAGCGATCGCGATGTACAGGCCAACGCACTTTTTTTTCCCGTCATTGTGTGTGAAAAGCGCGAGAACGATTTTTCTAACACGCATACATATATAAATCTATATAATATCAACACGTGTGTTTACATCGTATGTGTGTGTATGTGTGTGTGTGTGTGTGTGTCGCTCATATACGTATACGGTACGTCCCATTTTTGCTATATTATCTTGCGGCCAGTTTGACAGACACAGTCGTAATCCTTAAACTATTAATCGAATTCTATATATAAAATTTATTAAAACACGTTCTTCAGGGAGAAAAGTTAAAGGCGGAGGGATTAAAATAGAGAATGCGAATAATAAATATATAGATCCACGATGTTAAAATTATTATTAAAAAGACGGGTCAATTAAAGCGCACAGGACTTTCTCGGGGGAAAATCACTGCGACGAAACGTAGAAAATAAAAGACGACTTTTTTTCCCATACTTTTATCGAGGAGGGAAAAATTCGTCTGTCCAAATTATTATTATTATATCGGCCTGTAAAAGATAATACAGTCGAAATGGGAACCCCTGTACATTTTGATAACATTACACCTCGATTTTCGTTTCGCAGTATTACCTTGCCTACACATTTTGTTCTCTCTACGCCGATACGATATACATGTAAATTGTGATACACGCACAGTGCGCACGCACATCGGTACTACGCGCAAACGAAAACCATTTACTTTGACATGGTCTCGCTTTATCTATCCCCGTTTCTAACTAACTCGACACGAACGAAAGCTCCTTCGAATATATTCTATACACGCTGGTCTCTAGCTATTACTATAAATTCGAGGTACAATATCGTAGTGTGTCAATGCAAAAAGGAGTATCCGAAATTGTATATCGTATATTAAGCGAACGAATGATATAAATTTATATAATAAATAACGCTACGCGCTTGAAACACATAATATAATATATATATATATGGTAAAATTCGTAATGAGCATAGCACGAGGCCCTACAGTTTCAGCTTTACCCCATCTCGCGAGACTTAAAGCTGCTTTAGGCGAGCTCGAAAGCGGTAAACCTAGCCGTTTAGGAAGAACGAAAAGAATAACGACGTAGACAGTGTAAGTCGAAAGGGACCTCGATACTACGTACGCTCGACTAGCCAAGTCTACTAGCTTAGTACATAGAATTTCTCTACATCCTCACTATATAGGAACAATTGAACGAGTAAAACATCAAATAACTACTACAAGTCAACACTATAAAGTTTACTCACATAACGTGTACGTAAAAAAAAAAGAAAAAAAAACCGAACTGAACTTGAGTCGATAAAATACAAAAGAAGTAACAGGCTCATTAAAACTTTAGATATTAATCAACATATCTATCAGTTTTCAACGTATAAATACTGATTCATCTACAAAAAGCTTCTTTGCCACTTCGGGACATGGCAAAGTGGCCGCGCGTCAAATAAATCAATGGCCGCTAATCTATATAAACGCAAGACGCAAGTAACAAATTATATATTATATATATCGCAAGTAGCGATCTCACGACGAGTCTCTCTTTTAAGTAGGACAGAAAAACTAACTAGAAAAATAACTACGGATCGGCTATGCCGTTGATAGCTCCGAGTTACGTATCCGATCGTAATTTAACACGCTACCATCAATTTAACATTAATCTTACAAGCCGTTTAGAGAAATACTTTCACGATATTTAATGGCGGACGAGATTCGCGATTTCTTTCTACGACGAGAGATATGAGTTTTTCGATACAACGTTATCCGAGTAACGATACGATCGTTATCACGAGTGCTCGAGAAGGTGCGTTCACCGCAGAAGCATCCATTTTTTAAGTTTTACACGACGACATATATACATGAGACAAGACATTTTTCGTTCCCAGGTCGGCAGGAAATTGATAGTTTGAAAATTGAGAGAAGCGATCAGTATTTTTCTACGTAATTCATACCTTTCTAAGTTTCAAACGAGGCAACGCGAAGAAATCGCTGTACGATTTAATGTGTGACCATACGACAATTAGACTGCAGTTCGCTCAGAATAGATAAAAAAATGAGTTCACGTTGAATTTATATTGTTTATTTTTAACACGTTTACTATTAAATTCAAATAGATTGTATTCTCCTGTACACTTTTGAACCTCCAGAATGATTGGTCATTCTCGTTTCAATTAGTGAATTACGATGTGTTGTATATGTAAACAGCTGTTTTTTTTATCAACGGTATTTCTATTATTTCTATTAAATAATTTTTTCTTAATCAAAATAATTTTCGCAATACGTTTTTTTTTTATCTAGGAAATTAATATGATAATTGTATTGGAAAATTATCGACTTTTGGGAAGTTTGTCAAATGTGACCTTGGCTCATTTCGAAAAATTGACCTACCTCTCTTTTTCTCTCTCGATTTTAAACTATCAATTTGCAGCTTTGCCGTAGTGAAAATTTATATAAATGTTTGATCTATGTATGCATGTATGCATGTATCATTTCTTTTATGATATATAATATACATATATATATTTATATATGGTAATCATATAGTTTAACAGTCTCGCGCCTCGAACATTGGTCAGTTCCTGCCATATTTTCGGCTATATTGTTACGACATCGCTTTCTTTATTTACATATACGGACGCGGCGCACTTATGCTGCCTTTGCGACGAGCACACATACACGTATACGGTGCGCATACAATACGCAGGGTGTCTTTGACGAACGGCATTTTCTATTGTCGGAATGTTAGCTGACTTATGTCCTTCTTATGATATTTCTATCGATGTAGATTAATTTTAATCTCGGTTTTATTTATACTTTTTAACTTTTTCTAATTTCTTAAAACTAGAAAAAGATATAAAGTAAAATTAAACCCGGATTAAAGTAAATTTATGTTGGTGGTAATGGACATTAGCTAAGATCACATTTGACAAACCAGAAGTCAATAATTTTCCAATACAATTGTCATATCAATTCAAGATTTTCCTGATAAAAAAAAGAACGTATTGCGTATAAGAACTCACTGATAGATTGTTCCGATTAAGAAAAAATCTTTTAATAAAAATAATAGAAATATAAATGCCGTTGGTCAAAAAAGTCGTTTACCATGTACAACACACATCTCATTTATTAATTGAAACAAGAATGACCAATGTCGTCCTGAAGGCTCAAAAGTGTACAGGAGAATACATTCTATTCGAGTTTAGTAATAAACGTGTTAAAAATGTATAGTGTAAATTCAACCTGAATTTTTTATGTTAGCCAAAAATGGCTCTATATTAAATTGTAACAATTAAAAATTGCGCAAAATTTTTCCGTGACTGAATTTAATATATATTTTATCACAACTGAATTTAAAATTCTGTATTTAACCTCAATTGAAAAGTTTAGAACAAAAATGTTGCGCGTCAAACCTCGTCGAAAGTTTGTAAACTTTAAAAAAGCAACTTTACATTTAAAAAATCTTGCAAATTAATTTTCTTTTACTCTGAGCGAGCTCCAGTCTAGCTTTCGTATTTCACACACTGAATCGGCGATTTTTCCAAGGCGCTGCCTCGTTTCCACCTCACAGCCACAGTGCTTGGTCATCCCAGTTTCAAAATACTGACATGTGTGATGTGTGTGTGTATGTGTGTACGCGTGCATAAGTTCGCGATAATATCGCATGCAGTTTAAAAGGGATTGTCAAACACATATCTATGCTGTATCTTTTAATGCTCTTTAACGCGCGACGTGCGGTTAATTACACTAGATTTCATATTCGGACGTACGTGAAACACGCATTGAATTCCCGTGTTCATTTCTGAAAAATGAGAAGTGGAACCGAACAACCGGATTGTGGTGATCGATTATAAGAAGAAATCGAGTTCCATGACGGGAGCTCACTTCCAAATTGCTTTTAGATCCACATTCTGGAGAGAAGTGGAATTTAAGACAATTTGGAATGCCGAGCCCTTCGCCGCCGCTCGCGGCGGCACGCGACACGGTCATCGCGAAAGAGATCGAAGCACGCGCGCGAAGATCGATTGACAGTCGGTTGCTCTTCCGTGTAATAATTAAATGCCAGGTAATAGAAACTTTAGGTATTAATTAGCATCTGCTGCAAGTATCGCGATCGGCGCTGCATCGCTCACGATTTCATCGCGATATGTTCGTATGTTCGTCGCTCCGCTCTGACACAGAAATAACAATAAGTGATTTGTGAAGCAGGAACAGCAAAAACACACAGCAACGACATAAAATCACATTATGTATATGTGTACGTACGCGTTTACTGTACACGCACATATACATACATTTACGTACGTATATACTGTGCAAATGTTTTTATGTGCGGGTGTATAGCCTTGACGTCGTTGTGCGTATAATATCTGTTAGGATGTAATGTAGACGATTACTTCGCGTATGTGCGTGTCGTATATGCATCTCTTAACTTCTTTTTTTTCCCTTGTATTCGTAAAGTGAGAATCCGGAGCGATATCAGTAGTGAAAAGTCTGACATTAGTACTAATTAGTAAACAACATTTTTAATATACACATATATATGTACATATCGAAGCTCCTGTACGTATGCGGTACGTATAAAAGCTACATATGTGTATGTATATGTGTATACACAAGCTCGTGTCGCATGCGATTTTAAATCATCGCACACTTACACTTCGCCGAAATATTCAAATCCTGGAACATCTACTACCACATTACGGGTCACACATTCAAGGAAGGCCACATTGAGCTAATCTAACGAGTTACTGCCGAACATTTTTTTGAACGAGTACATCGGCGTTCTCTGCCTATCTAATATCCCATGTTTAAGGATACGTATATATAAACGGAGTTATAATTGTACAAAGAACGACCTCTCTCTATTCGTATCTCTAAAAGGATGTAGTACATCTGAGCAATCTCGTTCTTGTGTTGCGAGTTACGAGTCGTCAACGATTTTTTTTTCTTTTTTTTTTCTTCAAAGCTAGCGCGGCTGCTCACCGGTTCAAACACGATCGACACTGCTCTCGGTTTATTTCCATTTGGCGTCGAGGAAAAAGCGATATATGCATACTTTTCTTTTTTTTTGTTTTGTTCTGTTTGACACGCGACAGAGATAAACCGATAAAGGATAGGCAGTTCAGCGAAAAACTCTCTCGTATCTAAATCGGTGTTCATCGAAAAGCTAAGTCGATTACACACTGTCGTTTAAGCATTAAAATACGTACGGTAGAAAACTATGGAGTTATTAATAACCTGTAAAAAGTCGCACGCGTTTCCAAATGTGTCCGTTTTTTACGCACTTAAGTTCATTCGTGTGTGTCCGTGTCTCTCTGTATGTGTGTGTGTGTGTGTGTGTGTTTGTGTATTTTTACCTCGTGTGTGACTCGCGAGTGAAAGAGTTTTGAATTTATAATGGGCGGCATTTTGTTACAACAGTAAAATTAATCGTAAACACCAGCAAAAGCTTTTCAAAAACGTAATACGTAGTACGTAAGTAAAAAGCTGCTGGACTCTCTCGTTATTTATAGTACTTTTTTTTTTAAGATGAGCGATACCAAGTGGATTCAGCGCAAGTTTGCTAGGTATTGCTTGCGTAATCGTTGGTTCCGTCTTTCGTTTGGCTCTCGCCGTGGACTTTTGCCTCTAAGACCGGATCCCGAGAACTCTCGATGACTTTCTTCTCTATGTCCAAGTTATAAAGTAATGTGGCCTGAAGCGCGTTATACATACCGGTCCGCGCGTACCGCGACGCCTTCGTCAATTCGTGGACGCTTCCAGCCAAAGTCAGGATATCTACGCACACATTTAACGCTGTAAATACTGCAAGCTCTGATATTTAATGTTAAATATTTAATTCTATAAAAAATTTAATTATACGTAATATTATATATTAATCAAATATTTGTGTATTCGAATTGGTAACAGCTGTAATTTATTACTCTTGGCATGATTACTTTCTCGCTTTACTTTTTCAAACTAAATTAAAAAATCATATGGAATCGCTCCCTTCTCTCGAGAGTTACAAATTCTTCAATTAATTTCGGAAGAAATCCTTTCGTTTAAAGCAGTCTTCTTAAAAATTTAAAAATTTCTCTCCAAGTTTTCCAAAGTTGGCTCAAAAAATTCCAATCTACAAATGCTTGAAAAATTGTCAGACCTATTTTATTATTTATTTTTATTATTTCATATCTTTTAAATATAATCGATAGAATTCTCGAGAATGTATTCAGAAGGTAAACTAATCGCTCGTGAGTAAACTACTTTCGCGATGCAGTCATCAATACGCGTAGTAGTACCGTATTCTTTCTCCAAATATTTACAAGAGCCTTCGATCAACAATGACACTCACCATTGTCGTCATATGCTAAAATGCAGTGTGGATTCTCCTTCTGACGTTTGATAGCATTCGCGATCTCTTGCTTGCGACACTCCTGAACATATTTGATAGCTTCCAGCCAATATTCCATGGCTTTATGCACGCGTTGATTCATCGTGGTCCCGCGTAAACGTTCCATCTATTCAACCAAGTTTGAGAATATATATTTAATATTTAATTTTGCATAACATAAAAATAATTAAAAAATAAATATGAAATTATTAATTTACATAAAATGTAAGCATCAGTATATTAAACTGATTATCAATTATTGGTAAAGAAATATTAACATTGCAAAAATAAATTAATATTAGAGATAAGATCGTCGTGCTGTCTATCGATTTAAACTTACAGTAGAGTGAAATTATTATTTCCATTTACAAAAAAAAACATTTTTTTCGATATTATCTACCTCACCTTTGCTATCAATGTAATGACACGAGCGTGTTCCCTCAAGTAGTCGATTATCAAGCGATCCACCCTCGACGGATTTCCCTGAAGGCGCGGGATAGGTATGTTATTCGCGCTGGTCACCCGTTTCCCCGGGAAATGCGCGGCCAATCCAGCCTCGCACTTCTTGCGCTCCTTCTCCAGCTGCTTGAATTGCTCGTACGTTTGTTCCAGATTGAAATGCAGTATGCTCGAGGGGCCGGTCTTTCTGGCCGCGCCGCTGCCGTTCCTGAAGCTCAAGTTTCCCCCGTAGAGGGCGGAGAACAGTCGTGGGACGGGATGAACCGGCACGGGTACGGGGACCGGCATCACCGACGGGAACGCGCCCGATCTCACGGTATTCGCGCCCGATATCATGCCCGAGTTGAAGATGATATCGGGAGGCGGAATCCCGGCTGGAATGCTCTGTATCTTCGATAGATGGTGTCGTTGTTTCAGAATGTGACTGAAGGCATCCTTGTCCAGGGTGGAACCCGCGATACGGTCGGCCAGGTGGGCACTCCCCGACGGGAACGCGATCTCCTTCGTCATGTCGAATCCGTCCGTCAGTTTGTACGCGTTGACCTTAGGCTGTTTCAAGTCGTTGTGATAAAATGCAGAATTTTGCTGCAGTATCTTGATAGTGTCGCCGCTGTTGGCAGTGTACTGTTGATAATTGTGACAGCCGTACTTGGCGATAGGCTGGTACAGGTTGCGCGAGCTCAGGTTCTTCGGAAAGCCTATTGGTGAGTACGTCTTGGTCTCGATGGACTTTGATTTCGGGTTAATCATCTTTAACAGGCTATTATCGATTCTACAGTCACTGGGGAAACAGACGTTCTCGTTCGTGTCCAAGTTGCTCGCCGAGGACGTGACGAAGTTGTTTGTACCGGGGGGATAATAATCGATTAGGTTTTTGTAATCTTGGTCCACAGCTTGATCCAGTTTGTAGCTACGAGCCTGCGACTGCAGGAATTGAATCTGCTCGCTGGGCATGCCGATACCCGTCATGTTCAGTCTGGCGGTGTCGTGAACGTCTTTGAAGTCGGTGCCGATGCCGTTGCGCTGCATGCCGCCCCCGAAGCCGCAGGTGTGATGCAGCGCCGTGTCGGCCGGCGAGAAGTGCTGCAGCGGCGAGTTCGACAGGAAGCCGGAGTCGGCGCTGAGATCGGTCATCGCCGAGTTGGGCCTGTAACCGGGGCCGCCCTGGCCGGCGGGATTACCGCCGGCGACGCCGTACATATCGTGCATGCCCATCATGCCGGCGTTGCCGTACGAGTTGGACGACGCGCTCTGCTGCCGCATGCTGTTGTGATACTCGAGCTCGCTGATGGGAACGGAGTTCGGCGAGTCCAGCGCCAGGGTCAGCGCGGTGACGTTGAAATTGAGATCCGGCTTGGCGCAGCTCGAGATCCGCGAGTAGTTGCCGGTAGTCAGCTCGGCGGCACGGCATCCCATCGACGGGGCCAACAGGGGCTCCGTCCAGTTGCCGGACTGCTTGTTGCAACCGTAACTCCCGCCGCCGCTCGTGGTCGTCAGCAGATCGTTGCACATGCCGCCGCCGACGCCGCCGCCCCCGCTCGTGTACATGCAGCCGTCGTTCGAGTGCACGACGTGCGATCGCGGGTCGGACGGGTACGCGCCCGGCGGCGCGATGTCGCTGCCGCACGCATTGCCCTGTTCCACGGACTGTCGCGCGCAGGCGTTGAGATTCAGCGTCTTCAGGTCGTTGCAGAGATTGTTGGAATGATGATGATACTCGCTCCTGGCGTTGTTGTAAATGTTGTGTAACTTGCTGGCCAGCGGATAACGCGCGACCAGATGGTCGACGTCGGTCAGGTAGGCGTTCAAACCGTCCGCGACTTGGTTCGAGCAGGAATTGGCGTAGTCCGCGGTGGTCTGGTAGTGAGCACCCGCGCCGCCGTAACTGTTGTGACAGGTGTCAATGGTAATGGAATCCTCGTCGAGAATCTTCGACACCAAGTCGTTGACCATGGGATTGTTCAAGTCCTGACTGTCCTCGTCTTCGATATTCATCTAAACCAAGGAATCGCAATTGAAATGAAAACGACGACAATTAATTATCCAGGCAGGGATCGACGCCGGGGATCGCGCGACGCGACGAGGAATCTCTGTACTTACGTTTCTCTTTGTGCCGCAACCCGTTAAGTCATAGCTCCAATGATTGTACTCCACGCCGTGCACGTCCCTAGAGTAAATCTTCCGCGGTACTTCCAGCATATTGGCACCACGCTCGGTCTCGTTACTCTACGGAAAAGCAAGCCATCGATCATGAGATCTCGCGGATTCGGAGCAGGCAATTCGCGGCAGGGGGGCGGGGGACGCGCGATGCGATTCAACGCCGAGCGACCGCGCGACTCCCGCGCGAGGAGATCCCTCTCTCGCTCTCGGCCCTTTCGCCCTACCCGCACACACACATACACATACACACACACTCTCGTCCTCGCGACTCCCTGGGTCTGGCGGGACGAGTCGCGCGGCGGCGGCGGACAGGGTCTATCGATTGTTTTTCGAACGACGACGCGCGACTCGAGGGCGACTCGGGAATCGCTACGCGGTGATTCTACGTCGCGGCGGCCGATAGCGGTAAAATCTTAATAACGAATCGAAGGCGGGAGAGCGCCGCGACGTCGTCGGGGCTATCGCTGTCACGGATCGGTGAGGGGGAGGGGGGAGGGTCGCCGTGACACAGGCGCGCTGAGGCATGCACGCACGCAGAGGCAGACACACACATACATACACACACACGTAACACGGGACGGGATGAACAGGCATACACAAGACGCACACCGAGGGGCAGATCCAATAATACACGCGCGAGTATCCTCGCGATCGTTGGCGATCGACAGATAGGTATCGTCACTCGGTTCGCACTCCCGCGGAAGCTATCATACGCGAGAGACGATCTCACCCACGGGCGTTTTCTCTGCTTTTCTCTCCTCCCCCCGGTTTTTTACGGTAAACGGTGGCCGCAAACAAACGCGGATCGCACCTTTCCGCCCTCCTTGTCGGACGTACGGCGCGACGGTTCCGTTCTTTCTAGCCGCGATTCCTCCTCCCCCTCCTTCTGTCACCATCCACCACCTCTTCCATCCTTTTCCCTCCGCGCGACGCCCGAGTATACATGCTTATGTCATTTCGGGTGCAGAGAGTGTAACGCGCGGTGCAGCTAGACAGAGTGAACCGTACACACGCATTTCCACCAATTAATTTCATCGAATTCGCGAGAGAGAAAGCTGCCCCGACCTTGCGGCTCGGCGTCGAAGGCGCGAGAGCGTCGAGATAAGAGAGAGAAAGAGAGAGAAACGTCCCCTCACCTTGCCAACGGCGAAGGCATTGCTGCCGATTATCGCGGCCAGATTATGCACCTCTGACAGAGCCATCCGTGAAAAAAAAAAAAAATCCGCGGCGGTCGTCACCACCGTCACCCACCAGCACTACCACCATCATCGCTACTCGCCATCGCCCCGTCGCTCTCTCGCGCGGCGGCCAGCTGCGGGCATTCTCGATTCGCGACACGGACGGGCTCCCCCGCGATTGCGTCTACTCCACAAGTCGAAGTCCCCGCGATCCCCGTCGACTGCCCGCCGACGTTCGCGTGGTGCCCTGCGCCGCACCCCGATGCACCCGCGCTGATCAACACACCGCACTGACCTACATGAATCTCCCAACCGCAACAGAGACGTACATACACACATGCGCGCACTCGGCGTATCTGTGTGCACGTTCGTGTGGTCAAGATACTTTTTTCCATAGATGATCTATCTAAAAATATATTTACATATGAATCTCTTTCCGTTATAGTTTTTATAATTTTAATATCGTATGCAGTTATCCGTCACTTAAAGTAATCATTTTTAAATTATTATATAAAATTTATTAAGTCAAATTAATCAGTTTGAGGCTATGAACACATCCATCGTCGGATGAATGCCTTCCCTAATTTCGTTCATTCATTTTGATTTTCAGCTTCCTATGTCTATTTGATGCCTGCTAGTCTTTTCATATCGTTGGCCTAGTTTGAGGGCTCGTCCTTGATTCCTCTCTTGTTACTTATTTATCAAATAGTCGATATTATATAATAATTAAATGATAGTCTCGCAACGACCCCGAGCGGTGCTCGGATGGATTTTCCGGCGGTCGATTCCATGCCGATACCCCGAGAGATGAGACACGATGTATTTTTATGCTACATTGTTACACTACAATTGTCAAATCACAAAAAAAAAACTACAATAATCAAGTGCGCTGGACAGAAAGATATTCTGATAAATTCATACATACAATTCTTTTTTTTTTATAACATACTTTCTCAAAAATTGTAAATGAAAAAATTTCTTTGCAGCCATTTGTTCCTTCGCGGGCATATCATGCTCGACGTAGATAATGGATACTCTACACGTTTTACAAATACAAATATAGGCAGTCGTTAAATGCAACGATACTGTTTAATGGCGATTCGTTTTTATTTTAATTTTATAGGATACCAACTTTCACGACACAAACAGATTTTTCCTATAATAACGAAGCTCGTTTAGACTGTCTTTTATGTCGTGCACGGCCCTGTGAGAATGTTGTTTTTTTGGCGCTGCTTTACTTATATCCGGATGCCATCTCCTAAACAGAGAAGAATTCACATTAACCTTTCCCATTTTCAACTTCTATACGGGAGAGAGGCGTGTATATTAATATGCATGTTACGATTTATCTGAATCTACCTAGCCAAAGCTTTAATTGTGCTAATGTCGATAATCCTGTAGTGCAAATAATTGTCGACCAGCGGCATGTACTTCTTCAGGAATAGGCGGTCCATGTAGACTGTGTTTCCAGCCAACGGGCACGCTCCTCTCGGGACATGGTTCTCCAAAAAATTCAACGTCCTTTGTTGCGCTTCCTCCAGTGTAGTCGTACTCAGTCGACACTCGTCGATTAAGCCGGTCTTAAAATTAAATTCGATAACGATCAAGTTGATCATATCGTTACGATACGAAAGAGAAGAGACTTTCGAGAAGAAAAGAGAGAGAGAGAGAGATAATAATTGCCTTTCTGTGCTGCAATTTGCACCAATCGTTCATACTCTTCAAGACTTCATCCGACTGATGTATAACGATGTTCAAGCAATCGCTTGCGAGCTCTAACTGCTCGTCGGTCACGAAGCACGCGACTTCCAAGATACGACACGTTTCCACCTCTAGCCCTGTCATCTGAAAAATCCAGTCTCTTTCAACCCTCTTCCATCCTCCGTCGCGTTGTTAGCGTAAATAACTCGGGGTAATTTCGCACCTCCATATCGAGCCAGACGATGTGCTTCTCATTTTTGCCCTCGCTTCGCGTCTCCGCCAGTGTCGAGGTCGCATGATCTACGCAAAATGAAATATTCGTCAGGGTAACTTCAAAACCAAACTGACAATGAGCGAACGTTCAACGTTTCAATTATTATAAGAATTAATTCCATGAATGTATAAGTAAAATATTAAGTACTGTAAGATTATACGTCGAAACGTAGAAGTATCGAGAGGAGAACAACTGTGGCTTACAAGTGGCAAAGTGGCTGAGCCTGCAAAGGGGAAAGGCCAAAATCAGGACGTATGTAGGATGTCTTAAAAGGCAGGATTGCTTTGAGTTAATTGTCGGACCATCAACTTGTCAAACGCTTGTCACATGTAAGCGAGAACATAGGAAAATGCACCAGTATATTTGGAAAAATATCAGGATACTCCTGGGTCGATTGTCGGGACTCGAATTTGGGCCTTGCCCCTCGTGCTATTTTAGGGAAATTAATTTAGGGAAATTAATCGGAGCTCGATCCAAGTCTCTCATCGTTCGGTATCTTGACAGATTTCGATTTAAATTCAAGACAAGCTTTGTACAGATGTACATAGGGCCCTTCGTCTTTCCCAAGCGGATATTCCTTAACGATTTCCGTGATTTATACGACAGTCGCATAATTACCGTTATTTAAACAACACCGAGCCCCGCGGTGCAGGTACCTGAACAATCCGGTAGCGCGCGCAAGGCTCATGCTCGCCGAGCCAACCTAACCTCGTCGCGCGCACGTTGCGAGGTGTATTGCAGTGTACAGGGCGGAGAGGGTGAAAGACAATGATTGTTCTACACGTCACTTGATCGCATAATTACCATTATTCAGGTAACGCCGAGCCCCGCGATGCAGGTACCTGGACAGCAATCCGGTAGCGCGCGCAAGGATCATGCTCGCCGACTTGGAGTCAACCTAACCTCGTCGCGCGCACGTTGCGAGGTGTATTTTGCGTGTGTGTACAAGGCGGAGAGCGTGAAAGACAGTGATTGTTCTACACGCCACCTGATCGTCGGAATGTCGATCATTCGAAAATAAATCTATACGATTAACAACAACGAGCGACAACTGTAATTTTAAATGGAAGTCAAACGAACGAGAGACGGCGCGTCGAAATTGTTGGAAAACAACTCACGTCGTGCGTCGTGCGATTCGCCCAGAGGGAGCGAGAGGCGAGTCGCACCAATCAGCTGAGAATTCAAAGCTTCTCCGATGATGGCCTCTCGTCCATTCTCGTCTACGTGCGGTACGTACATACGTATAGTTTCAGAAAAAAAAACCCGTTGTTTTACTACTTTCTCGTGTGGCACCTGCGTATCTCGCTTCCCTTTGCGTTCCTCCGTTTTCCGCGAGAGCAGAACGTCCACGTTATGTACTCTCGTGGAGAGCAATGAACGTCGACAGCCCCTGTGGCCTAATGGATAAGGCATCGGTCTCCTAAACCGGGGATTGTGGGTTCGAGTCCCACCAGGGGTACAATTGCTTTTTACGTTTCCGCGTCTTCTTTTTTTCCTTTCCCCATTACTGGCGAATCGTGTCGAAACGTCGGATTTTTCTTTTAAGATTCTTAACGGTCGACATAATAAACAACTGTAATAAGTCTTGTACGATTAACAAGAGTTGCAGAGGAGATAAGTCTTTAATATCAGCGCGATCGCGATGCAATAAATAAATCTTGCTTGAATTAGTTAAGTTTTCTGAGTTTCTGTATTTTATCTAATCTCGCAAATATGCACCGAGAGGGAAATATTCCATAAAAACATCTCTATCAACATCTCAATGATATATTTTATTTTCCATATTAATGTCCATGGTATACAAGCCCAAATGTGGCGTAATAGACAGATCTTGTCAACAAATATTGTCGAAATTCATAATTGTAATTTATTTAGAAAAGAGAATTTTTTGTTCACATTATCACGTTATCACAGAATATGTACAATATTCTTCTATCATAGAAAATCGTATATCAAAATTTGTAATTTATTGGTTTCAGAGATTTTTTTATAAAAGCGACGCATCGTCGTTGAATGTCTGTAATCTAAACAATGCCTTGCACATCATAGGGATCTCTAGCTAGTATCTCTCTCTTCAAGACAACAGACAAAAAATGCGAACACACCGTCCAGCGCCATTGATAATAATTATAATGTTCATGGTATACATACATCTATATAACATTTCTAACTCTTATATTTTTTATTTCAGATCGTTGTAAGCCGACTTCATTCGTCGTTGGCGGCGTAATGCTTGATGAATCGCGCAGACGGATCGGTGACGCCCTTCACCCAGCGTGGCATCCAGAAGTAAGGCGTAAAACTTTCCGCTTGCCCACCGTAATGCGACTCGAAGACATTTCTGAAAGCAAAAGAATAATGCGCCGTCCAGTTTCGGCCAGGAGTGGACAGGAGAAAATTTCTATTATCGTCACCTGTAGTAGTACGCTTCCTTCGTTCTTGGCGTACAATGGGGATACTTGACGTACGAGTTCTCCAGATCCTCACTCGACACGCGATCCTCCACGATCTCTTGTATTATCTGGAAAAGAGATTTCTTTACGGAAGCGACGCCGTCGCTGAACGCCTCTTTGTGCCTCCAAAGTATATTGTCGGGCAGTAAGCCAGTTCCGTCGAACGCGGATCTCAGCAGATGCTTCTCAATTCCACCTGTAAGTGTGCACGTCGCGTAAAATATTTGCCAAGATTTTACAAGCAATTTAATCTGCAAATATTTATCGTTTGTAGCAGCATCAATTTTAATCGCCGCTGCTCTCACCCTGCGGCTGTCTGCTGTTGGGGTCCAGCGACAGGTAATAGTGGTTAAACTGGAGGTCGAGGAATGGAACTCTGAGCTCCAAACTGAAGGCACTGGTCGTTCGATCCGCTCTCAAGCCGTCGTACAAATATATGTCGTTCAACAATCTAAGAGATTCACTGTGCGCGTCCGTTGCGTTAGGCGCGTCTCTGAAATAAATATAGCCTTGTGCCAGCTCATCCGCGCCTTCCCCGCTAAAGATCACAGTCGTCTCGGTGTTTTGCTTTATATATCTCGAAATGAGATACATCCTGTAAAGGAAAAAGTTTCAGTAAGTATACAAAACGTTCCGTCTTAAAAGAAAGGAGAAAAGAATTACATGCAAAATTGCCTCTTCTTACGACTTTCAATATTTTAATATCGAATAGTTATATCGAATTTAATATCGAATTTAAAAAAAAAAATTAAATTGGATGCTTATTAATTAAGTGCTTTACCCGATAGAAGCGCGAACAGTGGTAATGTCGAACGTTTCTAAGGAATAAATAACTTTGTCCAACACGTTGATCACATCTTGCTGCGTGAAGATAATCTCATGATGCTCAGTTCCGATGGACTCAGCAACCTGTTGCATAAAAAAATTTATTTTTTTCAGATTTCATGCGAGTGCTTGAGAGAGGCAGGGTCAAAGTACTACGAGAGCTTCCACGGACCTGTCTAGCGGCGACGATATCCGGACTGTCGTCCATGCCTATCGCGAAGCTCTGTATTTTGTACGGCAGATTGTGCTCTTTCGCCTGTTTCACCAGCAAAGCGGCAACCAAGCTGGAGTCCAGTCCACCCGACAACAAACAGCCTATTCGTCGATCGGCCATCAATCGTTTCTCCACGGCTGCCGAAAGCAGCTTCCGAATGTTACCGTGAACGTCATTCGGAGTCAAGGCTGCGATAGGTAAAGCGTTATAAAATGCCCGTTTTTCGGTGTACATAATCGCGCATCGATTAATAAATTTTGCCTATTAACGATAGACAAATTTCATCGTAATGGAGTAACGTAATTTATCTCACCATTCCAAGGCACGTACGTGAGGAAATGAGGTTTGTCGCCGGGCTTGTGATAACGGCGACTCTCCAGAAGCTTCGTCCGCCCGTCCTGCAGAATCTCGTATTCCTCGTGATGTCCCGGGGGAAATGGCGTCATTGTCCACTTGCCTTTTATGTGCTTCGATATCGCCATCAGACCCTAAAAACGCGCAAACGATTTTTTGAAAAAAAATCACTTGTAGTAATCTATTGCAATAATCAGGTAAGAAATAATCCGCCTATAAAAAAGCACCTTGCTCTCCGAGGAGACGACCAGTTGCCCGTCGTCCGAACGTAATCTAAACAGCGGCCTGACACCGTAGGGATCTCTGGCTATCAGTACCCGCCTCTTCGAGACATCCATCAGACAGAATGCGAACACGCCGTCCAGTGACTGCGCGACACCGTCGGCGCCGGCGTGGACATACGTATGCATGATCGACTCCACGTCGCATTTAGTGGCGTACTCGAAATGATGTTGGTTTTGCAACTGCAACATATATGGCATTTTCACCTCTCTCTTGATAAAACACCGAGGCCGTCAGCAAGAGGGGAAGAGCGACATATATTAATACCCTTTCGCAGTTGTATATCTCGCCGTTGCAGAGTAGGAAAAGATGCGGATACTTGTGTATTCTCATCGGCTGCATTCCGTAGAGGCCGTCGACGATGGTCAGTCGATGAAATCCTAGATATCCATTCTGCAAAAAAAAAAAAAGAAAAAGAAACATTAACGAGAAGAGCTCGCGCGAACGAGTAAGGTAAGAGAGAAAGAGTTTTAAAAATATATATAAATATAAAAGAGCGTATACCTTGATCCTGTTATCAAACTCGATTTTAAACGCTTCCGGGCCGCGGTGCGAAATCTTGTCGAAGTTCTCGCAGATGCATGTCAGGGGTTGCGTGTCCAGCCCGAATAACGCCCAGATTCCGCACATCTTGCCCAGCTGTGTAGCCCTTGATTTGTCTCTCCGATCGCCACGTGCGCGCGATCAGCTGGATCGTGGTTCTTGCGTGTCGCTGCGTGTCGCGAACCAGATTCGTCGGAACCTCGCGCGATATATTTTCTATCTTCGCGAAAGAGGGAAAACGTATAAGTTGTCACGCGATAACTTTGGCGACGTTCAGTGACACGGGGAAATAAAATTTTACAGATAACGGAATTTCACTTCCTTTCTCTCTCGGAGTCGCTCTCACAACGCATGGAGACAGGCAAGCCGTAGGCCACGTGTACGCTACTGACACTGTATTTCGCCGGCCCGCGCTTTTATATATATGGAACACCCGTCAACACCTTGACGCTGATCAGCATAGATACACAAGTAGATATGTATGTATGTATGTACGTACACGCACGTTGCACGCTTCGTGCGGCGTTTTTGATGTAACGGCTGTGCGTTATCGAGCGAAGCGACGGGATAAGTCGACCTGTAAACGTCTGGCAGCGATAAATCGGCCATAACAAAAATAATTAAGCTCTCGTATTTCCAAGCGATGACCCGGCAAGCGATCATTCTCCGTTCAAGTAACGCCCTATTTTGATTAATATACGATACGTCTGATCCGTGCGTTTAACGCTTGAAAAATTCAAGGACCGGTCTCATCATCTCCGCGGATTGGGTTATTGAATCGGTCGATTAGATCTAAATTTAAAAAATGTCGACTGCAAAATTGAAACTTTTGTTTTGCTTTCCTTTGTCCATTTCCTGCAAATAATTCATTTTATTTATATAAAATGAATTATTAATTATTATTGTGTATAATAATTTATTTTGTATAAATAGAGTAAATAATTTATTTTATATAAAAAGTGAAAACTGATAATTAATTCTTAAATGTAAATCGGCCGATCAAGCTAGCCGGAGATGGTGGGAGCGGCGAGATAAGCAGACGGTATTTTGCGACCGTATTTTAAAACCGTATCGGCGCTCAATGCGATTAACTTAATAAACACCATAATATATACATACATATTTATTTCCAGGTTAACAATTAGGCAGGTTAACAATTAAGTTTTATGGTATGTTGAATTTTGCAGGAATATTAATGAATACGAGGAAAAAAAATTGTTTACAATTTTACTCGAGAAACCAAATTACAGGACGTTACGTTTCCACGGTGCGCAATTACATATGTATATACAATTAAGACGATTTCAAGAGAATGCCCGTTTAGCACGGAATTCCGAGAACTCTGCGCGCCGCCGCCGATAAGGCAGCGGCGCGCGCATTCCGTTGCCGATAAGAGCGCGCTCGCGTGTCCGGTGGCGCCGCGTGGCGGCCGGAACGCGCCACCTCGGCGGTGACGACGGTGGCGGCGTACAAGTGACTCGGTCGCGATCGTCGCGACTCGCGGCGCGCCTCCTCTCCTTTCCGGTCTCACCCCTTTCCGTTCGGGGCTACCTCTCTCTTTCGCCGACGCGCGTGCGAGTTCCCCGCACCGCACGCACGGAGTGATTTCGCGCGCGGTGCTCTCCGCCAGCCGCCGCGCACCGGGAAGAGTGCTCTGCCTCGGTGTCCCGTCGTGTCCGGATGCAGGCGCGCCGCACGCGTCGGGTGTGTCGTAATCGTGTCGTCGTCGCCGGACCGTGCCATCGCGGTACGAACGCGGACGCGAGCGCGTACTCGCCGCCGGTTGCTCGGCGCGGAGCACGAGGAGGGACGGGGCCAGCGGCCACGGAGGCGGCCAGCGGCGGTGGAGGCGGCGGTGGTGGTGGTGCCGTGGTGGTGGTGGTGGAGGCGGCGGCGGTGGCGGCGGCGGAGGTTCTCGACTCAGCTGGCCGCTCGTAGACTCGTCTTGAATGCTGCCTCCGCGCGCGGGAAGAAGACGCGGACAGTCGGCGCTCGCCGGTGCTCCGAGGAGGATGCGTGCCGTACGTTGCCGGCCGTGTCACGGCCTATAAGGCGCGCGGCACCATAGCCCGCTGCTTCCCCTCCTCACCCCTTCTTCTAGGTAAGGTGTACTTCGTTTTTTGCTCCGTCCGCCGCCGCGCGAGTGTCCCGAGTGCGCGAGTGCGAGTGTGGGAGCGAGGATTTCGCTGCTGTCCGGCTGTTCGTTCGCGTCGTCAGGAGGGATAGAGAGCGAGAGAGAAAGGAGGAGAGAAACGTCTCTTTCGAGGTTAGAAGCTATGGTGTTTCGAGCTCCGCTTGTCGACAACAGTGCCTGATAGAAGTTCCGATATACGTATACGTGCGTACCCTACATACGTGCGTGTATACATCGTCACGTTTTACCCGCCGCGAGCCGCTCCGCGGCCACACGTCTGTCTTTCTCGTTTTTTTTTTTTTTTGGCGCGCGCGACCTCGGAGCGAATTCGCGTGTCCGCGCGCGACCGGCCGGTCGATATCTCGTCCGGAAGAGGACACGAGGACGTGGACGTGTCGCCACGCGACGCGGGACGCTTCCGTTCGCGCAGTCCGCGCCGCCGTCGTCGTCCTCGTCCGCGTCTCTCGGGCCGCCACTACCGGGCGACAGCGTCGTCGCGTTACTTACTCCGAAGTCCCGCACGCTCCCCGTGCCCGAGAGACCTAACCTAATCTTAACACAGCCGCCTCGTCCGCGCGAGCGCGAGCGCGAATGCGAGCGCGAGAGGATCGATCGACCTGGTGGCCATCCCGGGGCGACCGGCACGTAAAGCTTGTCGGCACGACTCGCGTGAACCGGAGCGCGCGTCCGTCCCGTCTCGTCCCTTCCGTCTCCTCGCTCGTCCGCGGGGGCGACGAGGCGACGACCGAGAGGAGCCGGCCCGAGGAGAACGAGGACGATCGTCGTCGCGGAGGATCGCCTATATGAATTAATTGACGCCGCCGGAGGATCCGTCGATCACGCACTCGGCCCAAGGTAAAAAAGAAAAAACGGGCAACAAAACGAATTGTGTCGCCTCCGCGCGCTGCACAGCCGCGATTCTGTGCCTCTCTCTCGGCGCTCTCCGTTCTGCCCGAGTGTTACGAACGCGACGCGTCGGGACGTTGCCATTGATTCGTCGCGTTTATCGATTACCCCGCTTAATTATCGTAACACGTGGCTGTGGCTCGCGTGCCTCCAGTCGCGCCTCGCACGCGCGGACAGACGGTATTTTTTCCTCCTCCGAATCCTCCCTCCCCTTCTGACGCGCCGCGCCTCGTCGGGAGTTACGTTTCAATTTTGTATCTACGAAAAACCTTTACGAGTTATGAATATTTTAACTCGTTTCCGTTCGCTACTTCTGTTTACAATTTACCCGCATTTCAATTCAGACAAGCAGATACATTAATGAAGAACGGGGTTTTTGCTGAAGCATCTAAAAATGTTGGGACTGCAGGTATACTGAAAATATAATTTCGTTGCAAATAATTATGACATTCGAACGCCGGCTTGGCATGTCAGTTTTTTTTTTTTTTTTTTTTTCCGAGAATTGTCACGTTTGAGCATCATTATTTTGACGGTGCAACAAAACTATTTTTAGATCTGTATCTGACTGGAAATTTTTAGATACTTCAGCAAATCCGTTCTTTTTATGCAGCTACCTATGTCCGCCTACGAACTTCATACATTCGTAAAGCGTTAGAAATGTTAGGATCACTATTCTTCGTGAGAGTATTTAAACTCGTCTATTATTCGACCAGGCTCATTCTTGTCAGTCGGACGGTATTATTAACTACCGAAGAGAACGGTTTTGCCGAAGTATCTAAAAATTTAGTTGGATACAGATCTAAAAATAGTTTTGTTGGACCGACCGTCAAAATAATTGTACAGAAACGCGCAGAAGCGGTCTGTCAAATTGTCGAAACTTTTCGCAACATTATCGTCGTGATTGAGCATCCTACATAATTACTTTGACAGTCCATTATTTTCAGACCTGTGTGTTTGCAGTTCTGTAAGTTTTTAGATATTTCAGTAAAAATTCCGTTCCGCGTTTATTCGATATTTTTTATGCAGTTTCACGCATGCACCTGCATTTTTTTTTATATCACACAAGCAAGCTGCATATACCGCTGTAAATAAATATCGCGACGTACAAAAAACGGAGAAACGTATAGAAATATTGATGTAATGTGCTTAACAGACGCGCCGTCTGTTAATCCGAATGCAACAATTTCGAGAGCTGGAAAACGCACGTTCCCCGAGTGCCAACTACTCTCCTTCTCGAGTGTCGCTTATTCACACGCGTAAATAAACGAGTAAATAAAATATTCACGCGCTATCGCTGCCGCCGGGGCACTCATAAAACTTAGCCGTGCTCGACTTTTAGAAAGAGAGAGAGAGAGAGAGCGAGAGGATTTTCTACACAGAGGAACGCGCGCGCCTGTCGAGACCGTATAGGTATATATCTTTAATAAGACAACATATACGTGAGGCAAGGTCAGAGCTTTTATTACTTTCTTACGTCGCGTCCCGAATCAATTTCGCCGCCGGCTAATAATAAAGGGCACGTTTATTCGAATAATTAATAAATAGAGCTGGGCTCCCCGCGCTCTCTCGCTCGCAAGTTGCGAGCCGTTGTGCTTCTGCACGTGTCTCGCTCGTGGAAACGAGAAACGTGGAGGGACGAAATGTCGCGGGACAATAAGGCCGAGTGTCGACGTGTACGCGCGAGCGAGCGATCGCCGCTCTATTTTAACGAAAAAAAAAAACACATGCGGTGAAAAACGCAAGTGGGCGCTTTGCATTTGCGTAACTTTTAGCGACACTTGCGCGCCGACTTGAATTAGCTCGGAATCGATAGCTCCCGCGCGCGCGGGACGAATGAGGCATTTATCACGTGTGGAAGTTTCAAAGCGCGCGATATACGCGAATAACTTATTGTCGGAGATACGTAAAATCAATTCACTTTTCGTGGTAACGGTGTGATTGATTAAACCGTGGGTTTCTAATTTTAATTTGTGTGCATTCTACAGCCGCGGTTTTGCGCGCTCGTGTACCCAGTACCTCACATTCGAAGGATATAATATTCATTTTTAAAAAAGATTATATTTACATCGATTTCTCAGATTATATATATACAGTGATTTACTGAACAGCACGAAAATGAACTTGCTCCAACGTAAATTATGTATAGGAGACAGAAGAAAAGGAAAACTAGGCCTGAACTAATTCTGCCTTTTTACATTTATTACACGGAAAGAACGATTTAGCTGGAAAGTCAAAATTGGATCCGAAAATAATTTTGCTGCACGGAAATCAAAATAATTTTGTTGGAAGCTCAAAAATGATAAGCATTGCTGTAAAATACTTTGATATTTGAGCAAATCGGTTTGACTTTCCAACGAAATTATTTTGATTTCCCGTGTGCAACAAAATTATTTTCAGATCCAATTTTGATTTTCCCGCAAAATCGTTCTTTCCGTGTACGTTACATTGTTTTGTATTACATTATATTTTAATATTATCTAATATTATTATGCATTAATATCATATTTTACATTATATTCTATTAATATCTTGTATTAATTTAGGCAGAACTTTGCTTAGGTTGCACTCTTCTCCTTTCCCTTTGTTTCCCCCCGACTCACCGTCCGTGGCAGAGCCGAGCTCGCTGACACACAATGACGCGGATTAAATGGAAAACAGAAATGGAAATAATGGCAAGCCGCCGGCTCGTGTCGACCCGGCGCGGCGCTACCGAATGGGCAGCACCCCAGCAGGTATTGCCGATCTCTCCGATGAAGCGTGGATCGCTTCTGCGATTATTATATGCGCAACACGGTTAGCGGAGCGCGAGCGAGCTTGGTAATAACGGCGGACCGCGATAACGGGCATGCAACGGCGAAAACGCCGCCGTCTGTGCGTATAAGTGATACCATCGTCGCTCGCTTTTATTATCGCTGCCATCATCGGGACGAACGTCGATTTTCTTGCCCGCCGCACCGTGTCGACGTGTTGTATTACGCCGGTATACCTTTTCCGTAAAGACCCGCACGAGCCCTGTCATTCTCGCAGAAAGGGCAGGAGACACGTATTCTCAACGTAGGTAAATATACGTCTTATTGTAACGACGGCATTGATAAGCGGGGAACCCACACACACGCACACACACGGGAGGAACGATTTTGTTGAGGTATCTAAAAATTGAGCCGGATACAGATCTAAAAATAATTATGTTGGATCGTCAAAATAATTAGGTGGAGGTTCAAGCTGATTGCTGAAATGTTAAAACTTTTGCAGCATTATCATTATATGTATTTCGGCGTCCTGCTTAATTATTTTGATAGTTTAACATGATTATTTTAATTCAGATCTGTATATTTAGCCAAGTTTTTAGATGTCTCGACGTAAATCGTTCTTTCCGTGCAGAAGTATCAGTCTAATTGGTCGCGATTGTGTGATAAATCTAATTTACGCACAATGCTTCTTTTACAAGCAACTGCTAGCGTGCTAATTTTTTTTAGCGAACTATAGAAAATTAGTTATTAAAAAAATATAATTCTATAAATTGTATATTTTTTATTTAGAAAGCTAGCAGTTAAAAATATTGTATAATTTATAAAATTACATTTTTTTAGTTGCTTATAGTTTTGTAACTCCAAGAAGTATACTGGCACGCTAGCAAAAAGGCATCGTGTAAATCAAATCGCTTACATAAGCGAGAAAGAGGTTTTGTGAGTACAATCGAAAAAAGAGGAAGCGTCAGATCGTTGGTTGCATATCACGTATCGATGATCCGTTATTGGTATGATCGGAAATAAAAACGTTCGTCTCGTATTACAGCAATTGTATTTCATACTTTCGATTTTTTTTTTTTTTTTTCTGAAGAATCATCACTTTCCCAGACACTTAATCGACATCCAGGCCGGGGTATATCGCGCGTTAATACAGACGTTTAATAAAGTGTAGCGATAAATATATACGCGCTATTTGTTTATCTCTTCTTAAAGGCGACATTTGCACAACTTGGCTCGACTCGGCGAGGTCCAATAACAAAGTCGTTCTCGGCGGAAACCGCGGGTCCGCTCGGGCGGACGCGGCAGACAACGCGGCGACGGGGATTTACCGTACCAGCACCGAACGAGACACCCCCCTTGGTCCCGCCTGGTCGTCATCCTCGTCGTCGTTTCCCGTGAAAGCTTTTGGCATGCATCGACGGAAATTCGTACATCTCGTTCAGCGTTTCGCGCGTGCCGTTCCAAGTTTCAACTTTGCGCGCGGTTGAAAGCGGCGCGAATTCGTGCCGCGCGGCGCGGCGGGGACATTCGCCGCGATAAATGCGAACAGTCATCGACGGAAAATCGCGCGCGTGGAAATCGCTCGGCTGACGCGAGCTGAGAGAGCTCGCCGTTTGCTTGCCTCGGAAAGTTTTCGACGGCTCCCCCTCCTCCCCCCTCCCCTCCAGGCGCGACGCGAGCACGATGAATTCCTTCGAGCCGTTTCAATCGTCGTAAATCACGTCTCGTTCACGTCCCGTTCAAGCCCGGAAGGCTTTTCCCCATCCGCGGCGCGAGCGCGCGCGCTCGAGTTTCGCGCGCTGAGGAAGGTGCCAAAGATGAGATCACGCGCGCGCACCTGTACAAATGACGCTCGTGCGAAATTCCCAGTAAAACTCCGTCGCAAACAGATGCCGTTATTATTATTATCATTATTATTATTATCGTTATGAATAATGTCGTCGGGAGTTTACGAGTGCATTAAAGCCGAAAGTCTCTCTCCTCTTGTTGCGCGGCAGTCGCGATTAATATCGATTGGAACGATATCCTTCAGCGATTTATCGCGTCTTCCCGGAAAATTCCGGAAATGCTTCCCTGAACGCGTGCCTCCGCATTTATACAGGATTCGCCGATCCATTGCGATGCCCGCGACTTGGCATTTTTCCCCAACGACGCTGTGATCAACGTCAGCTCGGCCGGATTCGCGTGCGGGATTCCTTCGCTCGCTCCACTCACTTGGACGATAATTGATACCGAGCACGTGCTTATACCAGTGATTGTCACGCGCTCGCGAGCCAAGATGAATCGCCCCGTCGTCGTCGAGCCACTTGGATGACCCACGCGAAACGGACGCCACATAATAGCGTGTACGTAATAGCGTGGATTTTATCTCGCGAGCCGAGATGCGCGCGCGCGCGATAAGAGCCGGGCGAAATTCTTTACGGGATCCCGACGCGCGCGCGGTCGGAGACACGCCTCGTCGCCGCGGACTGGATTGATCACCGGGGGGAGGGGAGGAGGGAGGGGAGCGCTCATTATCCGCGATCCTCATCTTCGCATCTCCATTAGATGTAGGCTCGGTAACCGGCAAGCAATCAGCGGCAATCCTGCAGCGCGGCTGGTTCCAATCTAGCCGTACATAGCGAGATCTCATCGCGAAAACCGACCTCGCGATATGACCTATACGTTGGGAGCCTCGATCTATACTCGCGCGGCCGTTTAGTGAGTCACGAGACAAGACAACGCCGACTATATATAATTTATATAGGCTTTATATACTATGGACGCGCGTTTAGATGCCTCAGTGGCTTATTACGACCACTTAATTTTCTCTCGCAGCTTCTTTTCTCGCGCTTCGCGTCGTTTGCGTAATCGTGACGGAAGCGCGGCGGAAGGAGAGCCAAGATAAAGTGCTCGCATGTATATTTTTCTTCCACCGTGGCACGTCCACGGAAATTGATCTCGAAACGTTTGCCGCGTGTAGGTATCGAGGCCATACGTATCCGCGTGCCTGATGAAACGAGGATACGTATATAAGAGGGGATTTTTCAGGCTGAGTGAGATCTAGTTTGGCAAGTTTTCGCAAGCGGACAATCGCCTCGCCACGCGCGAATGTATATAGTAAATCGCGATTGTTCGGGCCCGAGGTTAAACGCGTCAAAGGGTTCAACGCGTACGACGACGGTGGGCGTCGACCTTGAATCAGCTGTTTGTCCTCAATGCCGACGAGTATTAATACCTATACACCCGCCGTGTCCTGCGTAAAAGACATTGTTGCTCTCCCGCGTCGCGTGGCAACGGTTTTGATCGGAACTTGTCGAGTGCGTTACTGTGTAACAAACCTCCGCGCGAAAGTTGCCTTCCGTATCCGAAAACACCTGTTGATCGAAGCGGGAAATAATTTTGATAAATGTTTTTTGTGTTAAGAAGAAGGGAAACTTTTATATAAAAAGTACTCGCGCTCATCGTTATACAGTTATTAGAAGTTTATAATAAGGAGGATGTAATATTTACGTTTCACCGATAGGAAATGATTGCACGATCATTTAATTACATGAATATAATATACATATACATATAATAATGATATAACATAATATATGTATATATAAGATATTGATAAGAGAGATTTATAATTTGACATTTTTCTGTTTTTGTAAATTGCTTTTAATAATTTAAAGGCTCACATATACATATGTGTGTGTATATATATATATATATATATATATATACAATATATGTGACCATTAAAATTATTAAAAGCCACATTTGCGAAAATAAAATATCAAATTCAATTATAAACCTCTCGATTTTTATTATACATATGTATATGTGTATATCCATACATTTATATATATGTATATTAATTAAATGTTATTATGACAAAATGCTTTTATCATTAACCGTGGACAGCGAAATCACGATCATGTCAAACGGAAGAGATTCGATGAGTTAGATGGAAATAGAGAGAACGAACGGATGCAGCGCGGCATATGTCATGACAATAATTGTCGCGGTAATTCCAGTAGCAGAGATTACCCAGTTTTATACATTGTTTTTGTGGCGTGGCGTACGATAAGGCCACTAGCGGTGAATTTCCTCGTGACACTCCGAGATAAGACGCCGATATAAAATCGCTCGTTTATCAGCTCTCTGCGAGACACACTGTACCGTTTTTAATTCTGCGTCTTTCTTTTTTGTTGTTAAAATAAGATCATTATAATACCTCTGTAGTTATCTTTCACGCGAGAGATGCGTATATACATGAACAAAGGTATGATAAAGATGATATACTTAGAAAAGAATAGAATTTATTCACTTCAGCCTACAAAAATTGCCAAGAATGGGACTTTACAAAATTAGCTTAAACTTACCCATCCATATGATATACTTAAAATCTGCAAAAGATAAAGATAGGAGCATTTAATTCTCTCTCTCTCTCTCTCTCACTCTCTCATACACTCACGCGCTTCCTCTCTCTTCGAGAACGAATCGAGAATCTCGACACTCGGAAAGGAAATTTATCAGCGATAAAGGCGGCGCTTTTTTTTTCGATTTCGCTCGCTCGCTCGTTCGCGCGAGAGGTTTCGCATGATCTGTCACGTGTCTACGTCTGCCAGGCCGCCTCGGATCGGGTCCACGAGCCGAATAGCGTTTTACGTCACGCGCCAGCACGCGGTAAACAAGTAATTCGCGCACGACCGAGCTTGGCGTCCGGCCAGAGAACCGGCTAAAGTTCCGACCGCTACTCCCTTTCGTCTTACGCGATCTTGCATACAATGCGACGTCTGGTCCGTGACTCGCAGAGATGCGGCTCTCGCCCGCCGCCGCGCCGCCGGTCGCCCGTCGTAAATCGAATCGTGCTTCGCGGGAGCCGCGCGGCCATTATTTTAATTGCTCCGCTTCCCGCGGTTCGGTATACATCTACAGAGAGAGAGAGAGAGAGAGAAACGAAGAGCTGTAGACAATGCGTGTGTACAGGGATAGACGCTACGTCGCTGGCGCATTGCGGTAAGCGGTAGGTACGCGCTCTATTTCACGATCGCATCGACGTGGGTACGCCTAGCGTTTACGTATGTATGAGGGAACCGTATGAGAGATAGAGTGAGAGCGGGAGAAGCCGACCTTGCGGGCACGAGAGCGATAATTCTCGCCTTCTCTTTCAGCTTCCTCGATGGAGGGTACCGGTAACGACAAGCAGAACGAGTCGGACGAGTGCGACGTGAACGGGGACAATAGGAAGCGGGACGACGACGCGGATTCGACCGGGCAGGAGGACGTCGATCGGAAGATGAAGGCGGAGGACAGACGCGAGTCTTTGACGGAGAACATGAATCTGAAGAACGAGATGAAGACGCTGAAGAAGACGCTGTCGGCCGACGACGAGGAGGCCGACGAGGAGGACGAGGGCAGCAAGGAGTCCGCCGACGAGGAGGAGCGCAAGGATGAGACGCGGCCCGGCGGCGGCAGCGAGAAGAAGGAGCAGGAGTCGTCCAGCGACAGTACGTCCACCAGCACCACCGACGACGAGTCCGAGACCAGTTCGGAGGACAAGACGGAGCCGTCCAAGCCGGAAACGGCCCCGACGACGCAAACGGAAGAGGCGACCTCGCGGGAGGAGTCAAAGGAGAGCGCGTCCAAGAACGAGGACATGACGGACGACAGTGATATCGAGGATGATCTGGTCTCGGCGATCAATTACAACACCATCACCTCCCTGGCGGCGCTCAAGGACATGCTGCAGTCCTCCGGGGAGGACTCCGACGGCGTGGACAGTTTCTTCCACCATTATTTCCTGTCGCACGTGAACCGGCTGCCGTCGAGGAACCAGACGCACAGCCCGTATCCCTGGGGCAGGAGGCTGTCGGAGTGCCGGGAGGAGGACGAGTACGAGACCGAGGAAGGTGAGGGGTGGAAAGATCCGCGCCTTTTTGTCATTTTGACGAGAGCTTTCGGGGAGGAGTTAATTATCCCGGGATTAAGCTCGGGATTCCGGCGGACAATTACGAGAAAAGCGTGCAGTTACGAAATATAAGCTATTGCGAGGAGCTCGTCCAATGGGAGCTAAGATTAGCTTAGCGTGCGCTCGCGTTTGGCAAACGCGTCGCGCGAAAAGTCACTCCACTTAGGTAACGATCGCTTTAAGCGTATTTATAACGCGCATTTCCCTTCCTCGCTCGCTCTCTGGAGCCTGGGAGATGCGCGATCCTTGACCGTTTACAAGGATAATCTTGATTTACGAAGTATCAAAAGGTCGGCGATATTACATACCCCGCGAGTTTTCTTACCGCGTTAATCACATTACGACCGGAGATTTATTATGTATTTGACGTTTTTCTATTCTCGCGAATGTTACTTTTAATAATTTAAACGACTGCAGCGATCGACTTCCATCGATCGCAATACGATGCGCAATAATCATGTCGCCATGTCACCGCGAATTTTCCGACGATCCAACGGGGTCACAGACGCGCCTTTGTGCCACTCCTCGACCTTGGCGGCTCCACACGTGTGAATCGTATATAAGAGAGAGCTTTGTCGCGTTTCCATGGCGTTTCCAGGAGCTCAGACCGCGATGCACTTTTTACAGGGAAGAACGCCGATAGCACGAGCGTTGCCGACAGCAAGAAGGACACGTCGAAGGCGCAGGTCGAGAAGACCGACAGCGTCTCCTCGAAAACGTCGAAGGCGTCGAGCCCGTCGTCCTCGGAGAATTCCAGCTCGGAGAAGATCGACGAGAAGTCCCTGGCGACGTCCAGCATGTCGGATGCGAAACCGCCGTCGCCGTTGTTAACTGCGACGGCGGCGACGACAACGACGATGACGACGTCGCCGACGACGACGACGACGACAACGACGGGCGCGACCGCGGCGGCAGCGGCGGCAGCGACGACGACGACCGTCGCGACGTCCATTTCCGGTAGATTCATAACGTCCACCGTGACGTCGCCGACGTCGACGACGAAGCCGCCGCTACGAAGGCGACACACCACCGGCCCGGGCATGACCTTCCCCGCTACCGATCCCCCTTCGTACTCCACCAGCATGACCTTCTCGCGGACCAGTCCGTTGCCCAGCCCGCATTTCGACAAGCGGTTCTTCGACAGCAGCCTGATCGAGATGAAGAGCCAGGCGAGCAGCACCAGCACCCTCGACTACGACTCCACGGAGGAGGTGTGGGTGCGCAGGATGGACCTCGCGCAGAAACGGCGGGTGAGTGAGCCATTATCTCGAGTATTAATTGTTAATTAGTATTAGCTGTTATCCCGAAGAAACACGATGTTAACGAGACGCGTCGAGAATTCTTTTTTTGTCACTTAATCGAATGCTGCGACGAAAGCTTAATGACTACCTGGGTAACTATCCGATGTTGCAACGATACTTGTTGCTCGCGTTGGCTAGAAGATCTTACTCTGAGTAAATTTTATTGGCGGAAATGCGATTACTGGTATATTTACTGGTAAAATATAGAGCGGCAAATATAACAGAAATAAAAGCGTCGTTATATTATGCGTCGGCGAAGTAATTTGCGATTTCGCAGAAATTACGCGCTCAACAAATAAAATTTATTTCTTCGCAATTATTTTTTTACCGTCGGTTCGTTATGCACGCATACGTACTCAGAAAGGAATTTTTTTTTAAATAAAACTCGACGTGTGTAATTGCTCGAATGAATTGGATATTTGACAAATATTCAAGCACGAAAATGTGTTATTTTACAACGAACAATTGCCGTTCGGAAATTATCAGGCCAACATTGCTGGCGCGTCGGTAATTTAATTCATTAAAAAAAAAAAAACGCAAAACGAGCATCTTTTTTGTTTAACACACCGCATATATTCAATTGATGACGAAATATGCATAAAATGTGCTGCGCCGACAAGTGTAGTTTATTTTTCGAAGAAGAGTCAGCCTCGAGTTAAACGAAATCGAAATCATTCTTTCGTGCGTTATCCCTTCAAGGATCGAACGGCTGTAACGACATGTAGACAATCGCGCCTCGTCGGCGTCGGCGTTCCATTTGCCCCGTCCTATAATTGCACCAATTAACCAATTGCCGCGAGTAGAAGCTGTCCCGTAAATTTGTTTACAGCGATCCCAGCCGGTCGATTCTTGCGAAAGCGGATCGTAACTCGAGTAATCCCCTCGTCCATTCGCGAATCGCTCGTTTTGTTTCCTCCTCGATTGCGCCGACGATTATTCGTCGATTGCACGTCAACGAAACGAAATTGGATTCTTTGTTGTCGTCGTTGTTGTCGTTGTCGTGTCGTTGTTTGTCGTGTGTTATGCGCGTGAGCTTCTTTCCCGCGCGAGCTGGGCAGCGCTTTATTAAAATACGCTTATTAAAACGCTCGACGATGATGCGCGTCGGTCATTATTGCACAAACGGTTGATAACGCAATTCGCGTACAGCCTCGAATATTTCGTTACGGTCGCATTGTGCGTGCGACGCTTGTTCGTCGATCCGCTTGTCCACCTCTTCTCTTTTTCTTCCGACCCGATGCGTCATTCTGCCCACTGGATAAGGTTCTTGCATTTTTATAGGCGCGCTCTCGTTGCGTTCCTCTTGCATGTCGAACAGTAAGCGCGGATCGTAAAATCGTCATTGCGAAGATATTCGCTAATAGCTCGCTGCTTCCGTGAATACAGCAGGCCTAAACACCATCCATCGTGATGTGTCACACGCTCTTTAAAGTAAAAAGAAATCGACAGAGCGAACCCGGGAGAATCTCTGTTTTTTTTCTTCTATTCCCTCGTCTTTCTCTTCCGAGAAGGCGGATTATTATCTTGGCGAGTTGGCCGCGACGGAAGTTTCTTCTCGATGGGACAATCAGGCGGGAAACGAGGCGAATAAAGGAAAAGTAACGTCTGCGAATTTTCGATTATTTTCACGATAGACACAAACTGTCCTCCAGTCGTTAATTTTCTTTTTTTTATTTTTATTTTTTATTTCCGTGGCGGTTGGAGAAGCGACGAAAGGAAGACTGGATCATGTGTTTCTAAATGTCTCGTATCGTTTGCCCCAGATCTCCCCGATGCGGCTCTAACGTTCTCGCGGAAGGGGTGAGGGCGAACTGGTACAAGGCTTCCTTTAAGCTCTATCGATTCGTCTCGAAAGAGAAATTGCCGATGCCTTCTCCCTCCCTGGCGTGTGGAGAGGGTCTCTTTATGACGAATAGATATTTTGACGTGTCCACCGTCCCGTGCGTGTGTATACCTATGTATACGCCCCGCAGCGGGAGAAGTATCGGAACAACATTAATTGGAACAACGAGGCAAAACTCGAACGAGGGGCTTACGTCAAAGCTCGGACACTATTTTCTACGTTTTTCCCGGGATCGCGCGCCGTACATTTCTGTCGCTTTCGTCATTTCAGTTCGCTGATGTGCAGCATTACGCCGCTTCGCGACTCTTTGCGATTTTCTTTCTTTTTTTTCTCTCTTTAAAGGAATTTCTTGATTTATTTAAAATTATTAAAAATAGGTACATATATTGATATTGACCTTTTATGGCTATAGTTTGTCTATTATGATTTTAAAGAAAAAAGAAAGAGAGAGAGAGAAAGAAAAGGAAACAGTTCCACAATCTTACCGGATGTAGACGATATGAAAACGACAGTCACCTTCTCACGCTATGGAACGTGAAAAGAATTAATCGAATGACAATTAACTTTTTTTACACCGCATTCTTTATTTTTAACATGTATACCGGGAAACGCGGAGACTTGCTTATCGTCCACTGCTAATTTTCGTGTTATTAATAGTACGCGCGTAAATTTCCATTGATTTTTGTGACAGGCAGTTTCGAAACGATTGTCTCCCAACGCCGCGCGTTATCAATATTTTGAAGGAGAAAATATAGAACGTGAATATCCTGAATAATTTTTCGTGTTTTATCATTCTATTATGATAGCAGGCATTTCTCGTAAACACATAAATTTATATGCTACAGAACAATAACACATGTATATAAATATTAACGCATTTGAAGGTAAGGAATAATTTCGCGCTTTATGATTTCATTGCTTTCGGGGAGCACGTCGCTTTCGCGAAGTTGTATAAACCCAATGAATATTTATATCGTGTTTTTGAACATCAAAAACACACGAGACTCTATTTACTGGATTATCGCGCGATTGTTATCTAAAGTGCCTTCAAGCTAAATTGTTAAAACGCAGCAATTTACCGCGAGTTAAGCCTACGTGATCAATGGTTAATAATATGAGTAGGAATGATTCTTTACTTTTATGCGACCAGAATTGCCGACGGCGATTATGAAACGAAAACATCGACTATTGTTAAAAATAATTCTTATTTATTTTTAAAAGTAGAAACAATGAAATAAATAAAGCTGAATAAAGAGAGAGAGAGAGAAAAAGATACGTAGGAAAAATTTACGATATTTAGTTTCGGTGAGGCACACACTGTGCCAATATTGTCGCTACTGATAATTGATGTTACACTTCCGCCTTTATAACGGTGCGATCGTAGGCGGTAGAGAACGATAAGCTTTTCACGCGTAAGAAAACACGCTGGCAGTATCGTGATAAAATTGGATAAAAATGGGTCGCCACGCGAACGGAATTATCCTCGATGAGGATGACGACAATTCCGTTAATATCGTTATGACGATTGTTCAGGGAATATTATTATCGCACTGTCAATAAAGAGACAGAGAGAAACGAGTGCCTTTCGGATTTCTCGTATCCACGTGCCGTCAGTCAGCATCGAGATCTCGATAGACGCGATAACTTTCGCGAGTCTTCCGAAACCGCCGTTTTAAAATTAGTCGGTATTGCATCGATTTTTTATTTATTCGCGAAACTGTCAAGCGACAAACGATCGTCTTTAATTGTTGGTGATTGTTTAACTACGACAACGGGATTGAATTGAAGAATAAAGATCGCATCGCGAGGATCCAAGATTTCTGCTCTGCGATTCATAATTTCTCATTGTCGAGTTTCGATTCGAAGATTCGAGGAATGCGGCGAGCGCTCTAATTTGGAGAACAACGAGGATGATTATCGCGGCGATGATTAGCGTGGCGCGATAAAGAGACAGCCGCGCTTGTATATCGCGATGGCGAACGATGACCGTCGCTCGACGTTCGTTATCGCGATAGCGACCGGCTGAAGAGATATCGCAAAAAGATAGCGGCCGCGAGGTGACACCGGTTACCCTCGCTGCTGTCCTCGCGGACACTTGTCACTCGGGTGTCGGAATCTCGGATGGACGCGCGATATCCGCGAGATGAACGCCCGGGAGGCGTACCGTTCTCGTCCGGACGAGCGCGAGAGGAAGCTGTCGGTGCCCCTGGTGCCGTATCTCGCCGGGAAGGTGCGCAAGTACTCCCTGGTGCCGTATCTGGACCGTTGCCCGGAGTACCACGGGACTTATAAGGTATTTTTTTGCCCGGCTGTTCCCCCTTCGTTGCCCATGCAAAATTAATAACGTAATCTCGCTCCCGCGCGCGGCTGATATATGTACGTTCGCGTCAGCTCCGGCGAGAGACGGGGCTCTTTAACGCAACGAGAGAGGAGATATAGCGAGAGAGGAGGAGAGGCTCTGGTGGCTGGAGATGAGAACCGCTCGAAGGTCGCCATCCTGTCGCGCCCTTCTTCGATCCCGTCTCCCATTGTGCTCCGCGGGAATTCATGTGAATGCGCATAACGAACATCCACACGCGGGGGGCGTCTATATCAATATCCCCTTTATCCCACTAAGCAATAATTTGTTATTTTGCAGTTATATTTCACGCGACTCATCGTCGTTCCTTCATCGCTGTCGTTAACGAATGTATTTTTTTTTTTTTTTTTTTTCAAAATGCCGGTGTTGCGCATGTACGAACGCGGGATGACAATTCCCAAAATTGTCCCTGGAAGAGTCCCTCGGAGATTCCGCGTTCGAGCGCTCTCTCGTTCCGTCCGGAGAGATTCACGGACAGTATCGACGTCCAGATGCAAATCCGAGAGAAACCGCGACCGCGGAAACAATCCGAAGCGCGAATTCTTGCCGCGTTAAGTAACGTAAATTAATTGCTTTTCTTTTTTTTTTCTTGATAAAGAGACTGGGGGACAATGGCGGCGTTGACTGACGTATTCGAGCTGACAGTGTACATGATTCACAATCTGTCGTACGGTGCAGGCGATATGCAGTTGAACCGCAGTAACAGAATAAAAATAGATCCGACTTGTTAAAACACTCTATATAGGAGCCCCCGCGAACACAAGGAACGATCGTACTCGAGAAATCGCCTCGTTCGTTGGACATTTTCCAGAGTGGGAATCTCTCCTCTTGGACTAATTCCAAAGATATTATTATTATGTAATCGAATACGCCCATCTTATTTATCGCCTTTTTTTTCTTTTATAACGCTCGAATAAATCAATGCGCGAAATTTCGCCGAACGCGGGCATACATACATATATGTATATATATATAATACATATACATGCAACTTACTCGCGAACTGCCACGCTTACCTCGCTCGCGAAGAGCTAAATATAAGAATGTGTGCGTAAATACAATCGCGCTATCGTCTATCGTGCGATTAAACAGCGATATCTAATCGCCGCCTCTGCGTCGTCTTCGCAGCTCGCCGCTTATAATAATTCCCACGAGAGCCGCGTTCTAAAGACTCGAATTGCACTCAGAGACATTTTTCGGGACTTTCTCGCGAATAATTCTCTATATCGATCGTCCCTTTAAAAACCACTTTCTTCATTTTCAGGAGCTCGGCTCGCAGCCACTACCAACGATCGTGACCGAGGACACGGATAATTCCGGACATGTTTCTCAAGGTCACAGGCCACGAGCAGGTGAGTTGGTAATTGGCGATCGTGTATGCGGTCATTATATTTTTCTTCTCTTCCGGGACACGCGAACGATAGTTCACAAGTTTTGCACAAGGAGATCCGTATCGTGGATATAATTATTATTCGTTTATCCAGCTTAACGGAGATAAATCCTTTCTGATACGCAGCAAAGTAGTGGTCTTACGCGAGTAGAGAGCAGTAATTACGTTGAATGATTGGCACTCACTAGATATTTATTTATTTGCGCGAGCGAACTAAATTAAGTGATGACGAAATAACATATTTCTGATAATATAACTCTGACTTGCAGATACGTGGGGGTCGCACTCGAAGACGATCAAAAAGTCGTCTTACGGGAGCGCGCCTAGCTCCGGAAAATCGACGCCCCTTCCGCAGCCGGCCGAACCGTCGAGCTCGTCGAGCTCCGGCAAGGGCGGTCGAAAGACTTCCGGCACCCGGTCCGGCTCCACCAGTCGCAGCAACAGCCGCAGCAATAGCGCGGAACGCCGAAAGAGCGGCGGCGGTACGGATGACACCGCCAGCCCTACGAGAAAGCCGGCGCTCTTCGATGCATTCAGACCGAGGAGCAAGTCGGACGCCAGCAAGAGGAAGCCCAGTATTATAGCTAATATGAAAAGTGCCGTTCAGGTACAAACAAGAGAATAATGTACAATCGTGGACACATCGGTTGCGACACATTCTTTTTTATAGATTTCAAAACGCACTAATATTTTGCAAATGCGGACCACGATTGGTGTTATACTGTCTCTAGACTAAAGATAGTAACATCGTGGTTCGCATTTGCAACATATTAGTTATCTATAAAGTATATATTATTTATATTAAATATATACATAATAGAAACCTATAAAAAGTGTCGCAACCGATGTGTCCACGACTGTACACATTATGGTACACATAATGTACAAATAATAGGAATGAAATGATTATATAACATGTTAAATTTTATAAAATCCTCCAGTTTTGAAGAATTTTATATCAAAACTACGATTTTACATCACGATATTAGTAAAAGATTGGATGAAAAGAAAGATTTGTACACATTTTAGAAGTTTTCATACACATTTTTACTAAAATATTCAAATAATTGATTATATTCTCGAGGATTTCAATTTAAAAATAGGGAAATTGAATAGGGATAAAATAAGAGTTTAGGCGCGGTTAAATTTGCGCAAAAAATTAATCAAGGTCCGAATAAATTGGTATTATCTTGAAGATTTATTGTTTGCGCTAATTTAATCGCGCCTAAATTCTCATTAATCCACCTTCTCTATTTTTAAATTGACATTTTTATTATATACATATATATACATACATATTTTAGAGATCTTCATGTACATTTCTATTATATTGCAGCATACATTACTAATTTGTTTATTATGCTACTGTCCAGCATTCCTTGCACAGAGGATCGCATGGAAGCTCGTCGGTGGATGTACATACGGAGAAGGAGCATCATAGAGAAAGTCAGAAGGAGCAAAAGGAGAATAAAGACCAGGGAAGCGGACGGCCTAGAGCTGGATCCGAGAGCAGCAGGAATCCTGTGAGCAAAGTCATGGATCTCATTAGGCACAGGAGCCACAGTGCCTTGAGCGCGGAGGACAAGCGGAAAGCGGTAAGCGCTTCTCCCCCTGCCATTCCACCACCGGCACGCCGAGCAGTGCGCTAGTGGTCGCATTTGATGTACTCGTTAATCAATCTCAACTACCAACGCGAAGAAATTTAATATTTCGAATTATGTCTCGTGAAGGACTCGCGCGATAGGCTTTCCGTCTGGATGCCGTGAGATCCGGATATACCGGTATCTAGATTCACCGTGTATCGACGACGACTGTCGATTTAAAATGCCAGAGTGTTTCTATTGGCATTTAAACGTAACGTTGTACACGCGTGTGCAGACACTGCTATCTCAGCCTTCGAATTTTATATTCAATTTTTCACACGCGTCGAATGCAGATAGCCGAGCTGTCAGACGCGGTTTCGAGTCGTGTCGCGTGTAATAACTGTAATCTAGATGCAGGAACGACGTATCGTACAGGCATCGTTATTGACGGCGCGTTCCAAGGCATCTGCTTCAGCAAAGGTAGACGCCTTTTTTACCGCGCGCGCGTATTGAGAGTAGGCAAGCGCGTTCTCTACCCTCTCGCTGTTTGACTCTCAACACGGAGGGGGGGGGGAATCGTCAGCGGGAATAAATTGTTACCTGTCAAGCTCGCGCGCTGAATAATAACATCATATCGTCAAATGACGCAACGCGATTACGATTGCAATTAGATATACAACTGCGGGAGAAAACGTAACAGTTACGAATGCGCGATGTTGACGAGCGTTGTTGCATCGATAGCGCATCACCGATGCATCGAGATACGTCATTTTTTTTTATCATTGATGATCACGAAACTATCAAACGTAATGACTAAGGAAAATCTAATTACTATACGCTACGAGATATATTTAAAGCAACCGTTATTATATAACTATATATATGGACCTTTTTACGGCCAACTGTGTTACATGAATAAAATTTAAAAAAAATTCATACAAGAAGAGGTTCATAAACAATACTTTTTATTGGAAAATTACAGCGAGATACAGAACTGGAATAGAGAGAATAGAGATCAGTTTCTATTGAATAAAATTTAAAAAAAACTCATATAAGAAGAGGTTTATAAACAATATTTTTTATTGGAAAATTACAGCGAGATACAGAACTGGAATAGAGAGAATAGAGATCAGTTTCTATTTATGGTTGAGCTATTTATGGTATGTTTCCTACTCGTCATTCGAGGTAATCAACATACACTTTATATACTTCGGAAATAAATTTCAAAACAGCTTATCTTCAGTAGCTTCGAATAGTAAAAACAGATAAAGAATCAAAATATTATTGATTCTTATATTTGCCATAAACACACAAGCTTTTTCTTCACGGTAATATCTTTATTTCTTCCTCATGTCATGATATCATTTCTACTTCAGGACACGTGCTGGCCGTAAAAGAGGGCCTACCGTAGAAATATCTCGGGCGATAGAGATACATTTGTTTGCTCAAGACGATTAACGTGACATAAAGGCACCCGGAGTACGCGCTCGGTAACATCTGCTCGAGTAATTATCGCGTACGAGAAAGGCGTCTGGTCTTCGCGCGTTACGAAGATGACTCGGCGTGATCGGCGATCGGCGTCGCGGGCGCCCGCGACGGTTCCTCGGGAACAGGTGTTGCCGTCGGTGTACTTGCGAAAGAGCACAACGAGTGCAGTCGAGCACGGTCGCTCCTAGTGGGAGGTAGCGCTTTTCGTACGACGCGTGTCGAGCGAAGAAGGAGACGGGAGAGAAAGAGGGAGAAAGAGAGACACGCGTATCTCACCTAGTGACTCGCCGCTTATTTACGACGTTGAATATTTAAAAAAATAAAATAAAATAAAATAACAAGAAACAGAAGCGCGCGCGCCCGTCGCTTTCGCGATAGTGCGAGTGTCCCGGTCGACGCGTGGATCGAAGAAATTCATTCACAAGGGTGATTGACATTAATTGGAATAATCGTGCGAGAGAGAATTTGTTTGGAATCGTTTTGCAAGTGAAAGAATCGAGGGTCTTGTTGTTGATCTTCTTCGAAGAAGGAAGCTCTTCCGCGGACCGAAGCCGATCCGAGGACTCTCTCGCGACACGTGTTCGAGTCGCGGAATCGCGATTCGTAGAAATTCGTTCGCCAGCGTCACGTTACGAGATACAGACATTATCATCATCGTCTAGCGCTCAAGTCTATATAGAGATTCCGAGGGTTATTTTCCTTGTCGGTGAGGAGAGAGAGAAAGAGAGAGACCCCGAGAAACGCGCACGCGGCGAAAAAAAATCTCCCGAAGAGATTTACGATCACCGTCGGGGATCACGTCGGCGGGCTGCTGCGCGCGACCTAGATGAGGAGGCTGCGCGATCCGCTGTCGCGCCGTTAAGTTACGGCCCCTCTCTTAGAGGGACGGCTTTAATGTCACGTTCGGATTACCAACAATACGAAATTTGCAATGGAAAAATCTTGGGCTGTATTTACGGCACGCTCGTCCGAAGTCGCGATAACAGAGAGTAGTCGCGCTTTACCGGCTACATATCTCGGATAAACACCACGTGCTGGAATTCTCTCGCCTGTGCGGAAAAGAAAAAAAAAGAAGTAACTCTTGGAAAACATATGTAAATTTCGTACGGACGGCGTCAAGTACGTTGTCACTTATTTTCGCTCTATTGAATTTAGAATTTCAGCGCAGAAGTTTCAACTGAATTCGAACAAATTGTCGTCGTTAAAATTACTATCAAACATTCTCGCTTTAAAGTATCGCTATTATAGACTTGAAGAAAAAAATAATAATAATAACGGTAGTGGTAAAAGAGAAAGGGGCGGTGGGGGAGGACGGAGGAAAAAAAAAGAACGGTATCGCGATTGTTTGCGAGACGAGGCGATACGGCGACACACAATGTGCGCTGCACCTGTGGCATATGGGTCGCATTGTATTAGTAATGATTAGTAATCGTCGTCCTCTTTATCGCGCAGACAACGTCAACGATACGACATACACACACGTCTGCGTTGCGTCGCGGTCTTCGGGAACTTAATTACCATGCGTTCGAGCGCGTGACGGGAAGGTCTCGTGAGGGAGCGGGAAAGGCCGCGGAAGAGCTTTATTTTTTTTGTCGTCCGCGTTCGCCTGCTCTCACCTCTCCGGTACGTATACGTGGCGGGTCTTATGTAAAAAAAAAAAAAAAACGCGCGTGCCTGTAATCAGGGAATTGACGTACTGCTCGACGCATCGCCGCGTTCGCGCTTCGACGACGACATAAAGTGCGAGAGGCGTACGGGTTATGCGGATCGACGGCGGATCATCCAGAGGTGGCGGATAAACGGAGGATCGTCCCGAGATGTCTTCGTACTTCCGATGGATAAAGAGCGGGAAGAAGGACGACGCGTTCGGCGCGAAGCCGAGGAGCCGCTCCCTGGACGCCAAGAGCCTCGAGGCGTCCGGCATTCGACTGATTTTGCAAAACGTACTTATTCGTTTTAGATTCGCATCTTTTAAACTATGATACCCTCGCAACGTGACGGTCGCGTCGTTTATTTTCGCGGATGTTCCTTAAAAAAAAAAAAAAGTTGCACTCGCTTCCGTTCATTGAGACTCGCAATGACGGGAACGCGTGCGATTGTCTAGAGTCTAGATTGAAAGGAATCTAGATTGAAAGGAATCTAGATTGAAGGGAAGGACGGTAGATTGAAAGGAAACGCTCGAGCGTACAAAAGGCTAACGTTCAAGCGGGATTGCGAAACTCAGGAAGGGCGCCATTTCCACGGATAATCGTATATATACAAGTGTAGAAACTTTTTAAAAAACTAATTCATGCGGTAAAGTTCCGCGAGAGAGACACTCGCGTGTCGCGAAGATTTCTCCGCGTTGCAATTTCAATAACCAGGAATGTATTTGCGTAGCCAATGAACTCGCGGAGATGGAGATCGCGAGACATTTGCGACACTTGCCATTGCCTGCAGGCGCGCACGTGGCGGTGAATGAAAATTTCCCTCGCTGTGCAAAGCCCGTATCGGACTGTATACGCATTGGAAAATTGAAGACTGCGAATTGCGGAGATTAGAATATTTGATCGGTTAAGTAATTTTTCAATTTCAATCCGTTCCATTTTAAATTGGTTTAATGTAATTAATTGACTTTTAAACTGCCAATCCGCAATCCTCGATCTTCGATGCGTAGTCAAGCAAAGCTTTTGCTGATTGGGAGAACGCCGACTGACTTTCGTTTCCCATTTTCTGTTTCAGCGCGCGGCGGTGCAGCACCAGCAAGTAGCATCGCAGAGTAAGTAACTATAATTAAGTTGCATTATAAGGTTTGTTTAATCTCATTGTTGGGAAAAGGCATGACGCGATAAGCGCCGCGGCGCAGATAAGCGGCGCGATCTATTTTTATTTCGTGACGGGAGGACGCTCGTAAGAAGACATTCATCGGAGTTATTTCTTCAGCTGTTAGCGCACATCCCGAGGATGCACGTGGAATATTAATTTCACTTGTTTGCGAGGCCGAGAGTGGCTGTCCCTCCTCTTTCACGCGGGCGTTTACTCGAGAGAGATAGGCGCCGCCATCTAGTCCCGATCGTGTCACATTGATAATTCGACGTGATTTATGTCGATAAGCGTTCCTCATTTATACGCATGACAATTTGAAGTATTTGAACATTTCCGTAAGACCACCAATGTAGGTTAATTTTAATTTTGGTTCAACTAACTCGTCATCTTTTTTTTTTAATTCTGTGAATAAGTCAAATTAAATCTTGAAGATTAAAGTTAATCTACGTTGATGGAATCGGAATATTTTGGTGCTAATAACAGGATTTATTATAAATTTAAATATTCTCATATATCTATGGATGTATACTCACACATTTATATTTCATATATGTATGTATGTGTACTGCACGTATATATTATAATATATAATTATGAATTATTTATATTATACGCACAATATAAATAATATAATAATATATTATATATACATATATATTGCATTGCGTTCTCTCTTGATTGAAAGCAATGAACTGTGCGCATATGATTTAAAAATTGCGAAGATGCTCCACTAACTCCATGCACTGTATGTATGTACAATTGTCCACTCGTCGGTATAGAACCCGCATACCTTACGAGCGCAGTCGATCGCGGGTTCGCCGTCTCCCGCACAGATGACGGGAGAATGCCCGTAGCCGGCGTACCGTGTGTCGCGGCGGCGCGACGTGACGTGACGCGGGTGCCGAGGCCGGTGCACGCTTCAGTAGCGGCACGGCGGGAGACGACGACGATCGATGCCCGCGAGACTCGAAATCGGACGGCGGCCGCCGGTTCGCGGCACACTCGCGGCGTCTCCTCGCAGGCCCGACCACGGGTGCCGTGCGTCCACGTGACTTGAGAGAACCTCTCCTCCGCGTCCCGCGTTCTTCCTCGCCGCGGCGCGGCACCACGTCGTCGGCGACGGCGACAACAACGACGACGGCAATAACAACGCGGCGCGGCGCGGGACCGCGCGTACACGTAAACACCAGTTCAGTCGCGCGCGGCCGCGTTTGTGTGTTAGTGGGTTAGTGCGAGCACGTCCGCGGGATCGAAGGACGGATCGCTCTTCTCGATGTGCCCTCCGCGAGGGGCACGCCGGTCCCCCCCTCCCCCCTCATTAATATCTCGCGCGATTGATGTGACTTCTCGTCGACGCGAGGTGTGACACGCGTTTCCCGATCTTCAGTGCCTCCTCCCCTCCTCCCC